GTTACAGCGAAGACCCCAGGACTGAAGGGGTCATGGAGAGAATCTGAGGCTTTGCACCCCAAGAGGTGAAGGCGTAGCCTCAGTTTCAGGGGAGACCACAGCTTTTGGGAGATGCCAGGACCATGAGACGACTACCAAGGACAGCAGTAAGTGTGGAATGGAGCTGGCCTGGGTCTACAAGACGATCTGAGTGTGCTATGGACTGCAGAGTCAGAGCAGTGGAGCTGCCAGTACCCTTTGGAGCCCAGAAGATCATGAGTGAATCCCAGATGTCCAGCCTTGAGCTACTTTGCTGGACTTTGGTTTTGCTTAGGTGTGCCCTATTCTTCCCTTTGAAATAAGACGGTATTTGTTTTGGATTTTACAGAAGCCCACAGTTAAGAGACTATTAAAAGAGACCATGAACTTTTTTAAGTGTTTGGATTTTTTAAGGACTGTGGGGGTTTTTAAGGTTGTACTTTCTTATGTTGTGATATTAACATCATATCTTAGGGACAGAAATTGGAAAGTTAGGGTTTAATAGTGATGTTTGTGTGTCAAGTTGACAAGGGGTCAATTGTGCTGGATAGCTTTAGTGTCAACTTGACACACCTGGGTTGAGGCTCAATTGGGGAATTTCCTCCATTGGACTAGCCTGTGTCCATGTCTGTGAGGCATCTTCTTGATTATTGAGTGATGTGGGAGGGCCCAGTCCACTATGGGTGGTGCCACCCCTGGGCAGGTGGGCCTGTGTTGCATAAGAAAGCAGGCTGAGCAGGGGCCAAGGGAGCAAGTCAGTAAGCAGTATTCCTCCATGGCCTGTGCTCCAGCTCTTGCTTCCAGGTTCCTGCCCTGAGTTCCTACCTTGAGCTCCCTGATGAACTGCAGCCTGGGAGTTGTGAGCTAAATGAACCCTTTCCTCCCCAAGTTGGTAGTGGTCAGAGTGTTTTGTCAAAGCAATGAAGAACAAACTAAGGGCAAAAAAATCAAATATTTATCCTGCTCCACCTATAAAAACTTGTCTAAATCAGGATACTAAAATATAAGAGGTATTTAAAATAATTCCAGGACTGGGGGTATAGGTCAGTGGCACATCACATGTCTAGCATGCAAGAAACCCTGGGATGAACCCACCGTACATACCTACCCTGGAAAAACTCAGTTAATTTAAAAATTTAAAAAACAATGAAAAGGGGCTGGAGAGATGGTTCAATGGTTAAGAGCTCTTGCAGAGGACCCAGGTTCAATTCCCAGCACCCACATGGCAGCTAACAACCATCCGTAACTCCAGTTCCAGGCAAATCTGATACCCTCTTCTGACCTCTGTTGGCATTGCACAACAGAGGTGCACTTACATACATGCAGGCAATATAGTCATACACATAAAATAAAAATAATAAATACAAATTAAAAAAATAAAATAATTGGGGGCTGGAGAGATGGCCCAGTGTTAAGAACACTGATTGTTCTTGCAGAAGACCCTGGTTCGAATCCCAGCACCCACATGGCAGCTAACAACTGTCCGTAACTCCAGTTCCAGGGGATCCAACAGCCTTTTCTGTCCTCCATGGGCATTGCATGACATGGGTGCACTTACCTACTCACAGGCAATACATGCATACACATAAAATAAAAATAATAAAGTATTTTTAAAAATAAAATAATTGGTTGCCAAAATCCTTAAGTCAGAGGCCCAGGGGGAAATTCTGAACAGACACAACAGCCTGACAAGAAACCCTGATCAATATTAGCATCAAAAGAGACAAGCAGAACATCTCTTGCCCCCTGCAATGATACAAGCACAGCACCACCTGTGAAGTATTCAAATAGAACATGAACCCAACCAAACCTATAAATATAATTGCCATGTAATGAACCCCAAATTGTAATAGCCAAAGTAACTTCATTTTTTTCATTTTGTATAAAGCAGCCACTTTAAACTTCAAAAGCTAGAGAAATGGCCAGCTTCAAAGTCAAGCCTGAACTTGGTTACTTCCCCTTAGAAGAATGCTTTCTTTGGAGCAGCTGACCTTGGTCACCTCCCAGACACTGCAGCTGTGCTTCTTGCTTAGCCAAGAAACATAAATAACAATTGTAATCAGAAAGTTCCTTACTGTCAAGGTCTCTATACATCTGTTAAGATTATTTTGGCTTCTGTAGTTTGCTTATCTGCTAGCTTGGACCATCCTGAGCCTACTCAGGACAACCTGGCATTAGGCATGTGTGATGAAATTCTTATGGTATTTGTGGGTTTTGCCTTTATAAGCTAATTTCATCCTCCTCTCAGGGGCCATGGGTCCAGAATCTGACTGGCTCTGACTAAGGGACCTCAAATGGCTATAACCCTAATACATTTGACCAATTAAAATTTGAATTGGGTCTGGTGGTATTTTCCCTGTGGTTTCAAACTCCATAACACCCATGTTATCAAGAAATAGGAATGGTCAGGTGTGGTGGCACATGCCTGTATTCCCAGCACTCAGGAGGCAGAGGCAGGAGGATCTCTGTGAGTTCAAGGCCAGCCTGGTCTACATAGTGAGTTCTAGGTCAGCTGGGGCTACAGAGACCATGTCTCAAAAAGACCAAAAAAGAAAAAAAGAAAGAGAGAGAGAGAAAGAAAGAAAGAAAGAAGAAAGAAAGAAAGAAAGAAAGAAAGAAAGAAAGAAAGAAAGAAAGAAAGATAGATAGATAGATGAAATAGGATGATATCAAAATACAGTGATACCAGGAGAATGCAATCAGTGAAATCTGGAGCATGAGATAGTCAATGAAACAAATGACTTTTCAACAAATGGCAGTTTTTTCAGTAGTGGAGGAGATTACTGCTCTATATATTAAAAGCGCATAAAAACTATCAAATACAGCCTGGCGTGGTGGCACACACCTTTAGTCCCAGCACCTGGGAGCAGAGGCAGGCAGATGGATCTCTATGAGTTTGAGGCCAGCCAGGACAATTGAGGCTACAGGAAGACCCTGTCTCAAAAAAAGAAAAAAAAAAACTATCAAATATAAAGCATGGGCCATATATCCAGATTTAAATAAGCCAATTAAACACACAATAGGAGAAATATGAGGGTTTTTTTATTTTTGTTTTCTTGGTCTTTTTGAGGCAGGGTCTCCCTGTAGCCCCAGCAGCCCTGGAACTCACTATGTAGACCAGGCTGGTCTTGAACTCATAGAGATCTGCCTGTCTCTGCCTCCTGAGTGCTGGGATTAAAGGCATGTGCCACCATGCCCAGCTTAACTTTGTGTGTTTTGAACAGAGATGCTACTCAGGTATTTGCAGGTGAAATAATGTTTGGCATTTGCTTTAAAAATACGCCAAGATGGGACTGGAGAGATGGCTCAGCAGTTAAGAGCACTTGCTGCTCTTGCTGAGGACCTATGTTTAGTTCCCAAAACCCACACGGTGGCTAACAACCATTTCTAACTCCAATTCCATGGGATCCAATACCTTCTTTTGGCCTCCGAAAGGGGTAGAATGCACATAGTGCACATACATACATACAAGAAAAACACTCATACGTATAAAATAATAATTTTTTAAAAAGTAGAGAACTTACGAAAAAGGTTTCAATTTACCTAAATACGTGATCTTGGGCAACCCTTCAAGTCTGTTTCCTCGTTAAAATAAGGCTTATTCCCAATCTATAGGATTACAGAATTTAAATTTTTTAATTTATTTTTATTTTATGTTTATGAGTATTTTACCTGCATGTACATGTTGTGCAAGGCGGATCCCCTGGAACTGGAGTTACAGATAGCTGTTAGCCACCATGAGGGTGCTGGGAATTGAAGCTGAGCCCACTAGGAAGAGCAACCATCTCTCCAGCTCCAATTTTTGAAATTCTATTTATTATTTTTATTTTTGATTTGTACGAATGTATTGCCTGTGTGTGTCTAAGTGTATCCCTGTTGTGCAATGCCAGTGGAGGTCAGAAGAGGGTGTCAGATCCCCTGGAACTAAAGCTATGGACAGTTTTTAGCAACCATGTGGCTGCTGAAAATTCAACCCAGATCCTCTACAAGAGCACCCAGTGCTCTTGAGCCATCTCTTCAGTCCCAGTAATACAGAATTTAAATTAAATACAATTCAAAATACTCTCATTCACTAATTCAAAAACTAGTAAGTAGCTACTATGTAGCACACACAGAGTAAGGATAAAGTAGTATCTCTGCAATTAGAAGTAGACCAAAATGAGCAATAAAATTTCAAATTCATCAAATTTAAACTTACCAGAAGGACTAAAAAAGTCATTCATTTTAAGAGAAGCTTCATAATTAGTAACAATTTCCTGGATTATTGAAACCTGTTAAAGAAACATATTTTTTTTAATTTAACATTCATTGAAGGTATTTCTATTTGTGGATTAAATTTAGTTTGAAAAACAATATATTTCTTTTTAATTTTTATTTATGTGTATGTATACACCACATGTGTGCAGGTGCCTGTAGAAGACAGAAGAGGGCATCAGAATCCCTAAAACTAGAGTTACAGGCAGTTGTGAGATACCCAACATAGGTGCTGGAAACCAAACTTGGGTCCTCTGGAAGAGCAGCAAGTACACTCAATGGCTGAACCATCTCTCCAGTCCCCCAACAATATATTTCAAGATGACAAATTAACTCAACTACAAGTATTAAAATACTATTTTCTCCCATCTCCAAATCTAAACATTTTAGAGAAGGGGTAAGAGAAAGAGAAAGTGTACTGCTGTCTTAATCATTAAGAAGGAGGGGAAAAAAGCTTCATAAATTCTCATCTCAGTAAGAAACAAGGTTTCGAAGGAGAGAGTATTACTACAATAACCTATGTACTTACATAATTCATTAACAATGAATTTATTTGCCTTTTGCTTCCCTGATTTGTAAAGCTATAAACTACTACATAAATATTTAGATTTTTCTAAACTTTAACTCCTTGCAAAAAAAAAGTCAAGTGAAGTGATCTTAAGTTTGAAAGGTATACATGAAATTAAAATGACTGTTGGGGCTGGAGAGATGGCTCAGTCAGTAAAGTTCTTGCCAAACAGGTCTGAAGACCTGAGTTCAATCTTCAGTACCCACATAAAAGCTGGCATAGTGACACAGCTTATATCTGTAACCGCAGAGCTGGTGGGACAGAGACAGGAGGAGCCCTGGAACTCACTGGCTAGCCAGCATAACCAATTCCATGAGCTCCTGGTTCATTGAGAGCTCATCTCATTATCTCAAAAAATAAAATGGAGAGTAATTGAAGAATAACACCTGGCCTCAACTACTGACCTCTACCCACATGAACATGTATAAACACCATATACACACCAACAAATTTTTAAAATATTATTTATTTATTTATTTATTTTTTAAGGTATGAGTGTTATGCCTACATGTGTGTAAGTATACCGTGTCATGCAGTGCCCACAGAGGACAGAACAGGGCATCAGATGCCCTGGAACTGGAGTTACCAACAGTTGTTAGCTGCCACGTGGGTGCTGGGATTCTAACCTGGGTCTTCTGCAAGAGCAGCCAGTGCTCTTAACCACTGAGCCATTTCTCTAGTCCCCACCAACAAAGATTTTTAAATGACTATTTCACTTATTATTGTTAGTAACCCCAGTAAAGGGCAGAAAGTGGATTCTGTGCTTAATTATAGGTTTTCCTTTCCAACTTATCTAAATACTACTAAAGCAAGGTCCAAAAACTACTAGTTAATGAAAATCAGAAACTAAGATATTTTTATTTTCACTGTGGTGGCACATGCCTTTAATCCCAGCACTTGGGAAACAGAGGGAGGCAGATCTTTGTGAGTTTGAGGCCAGCCTGGTCTACATAGCAAGTTCCAGGTCAACTGGGGCTACAAGGGAGACCCTGTCTCAAAAAGACCAGGAAAAAAAAAAGATATTTTTTAATTGAGGCCAGGAGTGGCTGCACAACCCTAATCCAGGAATTCAGGAGGTTTAGGCAGGTGGATGGTGAGTTTGAAACTAACCTGGGCTACACAGTGAGTCCATTTTCTCAAAAAATTAAAAACTAAATTTCTCTCATGTGAAAGCTAAAAATGTTGGCCTTGTAGAAGAAGAAAAGAATTGTGGTCACTAGAGACCCAGAAGGGGATAGCAGGTTGGTAATAGGTATCAAAACAGTTAGATAGGAGTAATAAGTTCTAATTTTCTATCACAACTTCTAAAATTTGGGTCCCAACCCTAGGGATCAAAAATATGAAGAACGCAAAATGTTTCATAATATTAACAGGTTTCTGAATGCGCAATGATCAAACTTAATTCAAAATCAAAACACATAATGAACCTGAGGTATTTCTCGCAGTGCTCACCCAGAATGCATCATTAAGATTTCACTGCAGTCTTGGTCCTGAACACCTAACATGCACATTTGCACATAATGGCAATGAACACTACCTGACACTGTGACTCAGATTCAACACAACTGTATGCTATGAATTACAGTATTTTTTACTACATATACAAAGTTTTCTGCCCTTATAAAAATGCAATGGTTTAATTTTAAAGTTACTTTTAAGCCAGGTGTGGTGGCACTGCATTTAATCCCAGCACTCAGGTGGCAGAGACAGGTGGATCTCTGTGAGTTCAAGGCCAGCCTGGTCTACAAATCAAGTTCCAGGTCAGCTGAGGCTACAGGGAGACCCTGTCTCAAAAAAGACCAAAAAGAGAAAAAAAGGGGCAATTTTAATATTTTCCTACCATAATTCTTCAGCACGTAAGTATCAAGTTAGTATATTTTGGGATTATATTAGTAGAATGTTTGAAAAATACTTAAAATTGCTGTGTAAATTGCTGAATTCAGTTTCATAAAAATAATTTTTAGAAAAATCATGCCAGGCATGGTGGTACACATTGTTAATCCTACCACTTGGGAGGCAGAGGCAGGCAGATCTCTGTGAGATTGAGGCTAGCCCCATCTACACAGTGAGCTCCAAGCCAGCTTGGGCCACAAGTAGACCCTGTCAAAAAAAAAGGGGGGGGGAGCAGAGAGATGGCTCAGCTATCAAAGAGCACTGGTTGCTCTTGTAGAGGACTTGGGATCAGTTCCTAGCTCCCACTTGGCATACAACCATCCATCTAGTTCTAGAAGATTCGAGGTCTTCCAGCCTCTTCAGGCATTGCATGTATGGGTGCACTTACATACATGCATGCAAAACACTCATACACATAAAAATGAAAGTAAATTAATTAAATTAAAAAAATTATTCAGCCAGGCATGGTAGTGTACATCTTTAATCCCAGACTTGGGAAGCAGAGGCTGGTGGATGTCTATGAGTTCAAGGTCAGCCTGATCTACACAGCCAGAGTTCCTGGACAGCTAGAGCTACTTAGTGAAACACTGCCTCAAATGGAAAAAAAAAAAAAAAAAAAAAAGTCAGGTGTGGCAGGGGACGCCTTTAATCCCAGGACTCCAAGGCAGAGGCAGGCAAATCTCTGTGAGTTTAAGGCCAGCCTGGTCTACATAGTGAGTTCCAGGACAGCTGGGGCTACAGGGAGACCCTGTCTCAAAAAGATTTAAAAAAAAAAAGTTTTTTAGTTAATGATTTTTTTTTTTTTGGCTTGAGATTAAGACAAAATTCCAATAATTTCTGAAATGGCCATAAACACATTTATCATTTTGTATCAAAGCATTGTTCTCATCATTGACAATTATAAAACCAAAATATCAACTTTGAAAAATGCTAAAAGTGGGCTAGGGAGATGGCTCAGTGGGCAAAGCGCTTTCCATACAAGCATGAAGACCTGAGTTCAAATCCCTAGAACCAACATAAAATCTGGGCAGAGTAGCATGTGTCTGTAATCCCAGTATTCCTACAGTAAAATGGAAGCTGGAGATAGGTGAATCCCCAGAATCTCATGGGCCAGCCAGCCTAGCATATGCAGTCAAACAACAAAGAGGAGACCTTGTCTCAGAAAAGGTGGAAGGCAAGAACCAACACCGAAAGTTGTTCTCCAACCTCCATAAGTTTGCCATTGCATGCAAGCGACTACAATCACATACACAAAGATTAAATCTGTTTTTGTTCTTTTATTTTGTTTTGCTCTGTTTTTGACAGGGTCTCCCAGTCTGCCTGAAAGTCACTACCTGGATCAAGTTAGACTCCATCTCAGAGATCTGGCCTGCCTCTGCTTCCTGAGGGCTGGGATTAAAGGTGTGCACCACCACACCTGGCATAACAAATACTAATTTTTAAAAACTGAACATGCTCTATGCCCTGCAGTATCAAATGTTCGGTCAAGATTTGCTTCTTCATGTAAAAGTAGACAAACACATTCATTTCACTAGTATGCAAATTTTCTCTCATCTTTAATAAATGATATTACGCAAATACCAAATAGTTTTAAAATAAATTTCTTCATGATTATCAGTAAATATTTTGTTTTTTATATGTATTTAATATACTTATTTATCTAGTGGTCACATTAAAAAATTTCAAGCAAAGGGCTGAAGAGATGGCTCAGCAGTTTGAAGGACCCTAATTCAGTCCCCCTAGGCTAAAGACAAGGAAATAAGTCCCCCAGGCCAAAGAACTGTACAAGGAAATAAAAATAAAAAAATAATTCTGAATGCTAAGAACAAGCTGAGCTGACCTTTTACATGCTCCTCTGCCCAAGCTGGAAATCATCCCAGAAATTCCCCCTACCTCTGCTTGGCACATAGCCGCCGCT